TTATGTTTTTAAAAAATAATCTTTTTTTTTTTTTTTTGTGGTGTGAAAGAGATAGTTTCTTTTAGCCTGGTTAGCTGTATTAAGTTTCAGCTTCAACTCTAAAGAGAGTAGAATAGTATGTTGAAGTGATGTCTAGAACGGTTTTCAGATTTTTTTCTGGGGTATAGTGAGAGGCTAAACAGCAAATTTTTTCCCTCTGCAGTCTTTGTGAGATAATTTCTGCAAGTGCAAAATTACAGGATATATAAGCATGCTTTCTCAATTCCATTAATTTCAGTAAAATTTTGTTTGTTATCATTGATCCAAGTCACACAACTGCTTTTGAAAGGGTCTGAAGTAGAGTTTAGGGGCCACAGTCAATCAAGAATGTGCTTTAAACTGAGCCGAGTCCTTTTCCAATCAATGTTGTTATGATTTGACTAGTGCTGTGTTTATATTGGACACTCAGAGAAGTTAAAGCAGCTGAAGGTTTGAAATCAGCACATGAAACATATACTTAAGTCTCCTGTGAGTGTTCTTTTTTAAAAAAATAAAAAGTCGTAGTTACATACTTTAATCTTTTTTGTGGAGATCTACGTGAGACTTCAATATGCTTTGAATGTATTTGATTTAGTTAACTATGAAGAGAAGACAAGGAAAGAGGATGGACAAACACCTTTTTCCTTCTGTCCCCTTGGGCTTGTGCATGTTTATTATGTCATGATCATCATGGTCTTCAGGACAGTAGAGATTCCCACAGACAGTTCAGCCAGCCTTTTTTGCGCTGATCTTTTGGTGCTAGTAAATATCTGAGCTCTCGTGGTAAAAGCTGAGTTTGCTGGCTCACTCAATGAAGTGAGGAATGTTTTGCGTACAGATTTTGTTAGTGCAAAAGCTTTATGAGAGTATTGCAATGTAAAACTCGTGTTTCCAGAGAAATTTGAAGGTTATGACCTCATTGAAATAAATTTGCTTCTCCTGATGTTCATGGTTAGAATCTTTCTGCAGTGTTGCTTCTCTGGGGGAGAGAGAATTGGAACTGGTAGAGAGGAAAGCCAGAAATCAGACTGATTGATGATCAGACAGAGCGATGAGCTGATATACAATCTGGATTGATTGAGAAATAGTCTGACAAGAGATGGAGCTGGGTAGCACAGTGATAAGCTATTGTGTTGATGTAACAAGGTGAGTGAAACCCAATATTGATAGTTAGGGAGTACAGATTTAAAGATGATCAGCATTAGTATGAGCCGAATTGTGGGTATTATTAGGCACAGCAAGAGCTAAAATAAAGGTTGTGTCTGGTGCACTTTATAGAAGTGCTTTAACCTCTGAGAAGGTTTCAGCAATGAGATGCTCCTTTTTTTTTTCCCCAGTTGAACCATTTTCAATCAGCTGAAACCACTGGAGTCCTAGGGCTATGTCAAGAATTGTACAAACACTAAAGAACATCTGTCTGGATAACTGGAGAGGGGAAATTGCTTGGGCTAGAGTAGCTACTGTTTTCCAAGGCCTGGATGAGCACTATTTGTGTGGGTGGCTGTTGTCATTAGAAACTTCTTAAGAGGAATTCTGCCTTCCTGAGGGCCACTCTTCCACATTTTCAGGTTCAGATAATGCACAATTTCAGATGTGACCTCCGCTCAAACAGTTTTAAGGTTGTTGGGCAGAAGTTCAAGTGCTTGTTTTGGTATGTCTGACCAGGTCATGTGCACTGTGCTCATGCACTGGCCATGGCCAACACGTGTGACCCTGTGTACTGCACCAGTCCCAGGCAGACAGATGTCTTCTTCTCTGTGTGCTAGCCTGTTTGCATGTTTACATTTTGATGCCTGCAAAATAAATATTCTGTGCTGCAATCACAAGTTAATCTGTATCAAGTTAATCAAAAAGTTAATCTGTATCTGTCACAATGATTGGTTTAAAAATTTTTGTATCCTCAGTATGCAGAGTCTTGCTCCTTGGCGTCTTTTTTGGCAGATGACCAGCTTGAGTTCAGTGCTGTGGCCACTTGGTTTACAATTTACTGTGTGGAAGTAGTAGTTGGTGTGACTGAGGCTTCTCTGGCTCTGTGAAATTTGCTACAGCAATGCTGCTAGTTGGTATTTTTCTAGAGACTTTACCTCTTTCTAGGTATTTCTGAATGGCTTCCAGGCTTGTAATAGAGTTGTTCATATCAGTGGGACCAGGAAGGTGAAAAGAACATGTGATCGTGCTGTGGTCAGCCCACAGTTTGGCTTCTTTGTGTAATTCAGTTGATGAGAGGAGGTTTATACTGTGGTACTTCATACTGTGTACTAAAAGAGCTCTGTTCAGGGGAGAGGGTGATATCTGGTAAAGAAATGTTTACATGCAGATAATGCGTTATAACATTTTGATTTGCTCAGACATGGATGGGAAATGTTAGAGCTGCAATTTACACTTGGATGAGAATATGTGAACTGAGTACAGTGGACTCATTATGGTCATATCAAAGTAATGATCTGCTGGTTTATCTGTTAGGGGATATTTGAACATTTCCTATCTTCAGCTGCTCTTAGACTTTCCCATAAGAAGTGAATATGCATTAGTTAATGTTCTCAGCTCGGAGGCAAAAAAGTAAAGCTCATCAGGAGCGTAGCTGGCAAGGAAAGGAAGGAAGAAGTTAATTTTGATCATGCTCAATCATAGAAGCACAGTTTTCTTAGAGGAATAGCTGAGTGGTCCATGCTATTTAAAGATCATGACATCTAAAACTTGATGGGCTTGTGTGCGGGATGAGTATCTGCAAAGCTGGGAGGAGGAATCTTGGAAAATAATTTGTGGATGGGAACGTGTGAGGTGATACATTTGAGAGGGTGTATGTTTGCAGTCTGTTCATTTGCCAGCCTTTCAACTTCCCTGGCCATTTGGCTTTTTATCTAGAAATATCCATCACTTTTCCTTTCTTTTATAGTATCTTGCTGCTTTACACCCTGGACCTTTCTTTGTAATCATTTTTGCCATCTCTCCTTGGTTGTTGTGTTCAAAGTATATGAATTTTTAATTTCAATAATAGTGGAATAATTTAAAAATCCCCCAGAAATATATTCCATATAGTAGTGTTTCCTGAACAGTCAATGAAACTGGCTGGTGAGATAAATTAATTCATTCTTTGACCTTGCTTTATCTGTTTGTGCATCTTTTTTGCACGAGTCTCCAAAGCCTGTCAAAGGATGTGTCTCTCATGCCTTGTTGTGTTTGGTTTCTTTTTTGTTGTTGTTTGTTTGTTTTTTTTTTAAACTGAGGCAAGGGAAGATAATGTTACTTGAATGAAGACAGAAACAGTGCTGTGGAAAAACATCAACAGATCTGGAAATCGGACCTTTGATTATTTCTCTTCTAAAAAAATTTTAATCATGACTGGGAATGTTGCCAGACACTGCAAGAGAATTCTTCTTACTGTTAAATCATTAGCTTGATCCTTGGCATGTGTTGGCCTAAGCCAGTGCTCTCAGAAGAGGCCTGGGCAGAGTTCAAGTCTTCAGCGTGTCCTAGGAACTGTTCCATTAGGCAGTTTGCATGCAGTTAACCTTTTCTGGAGATTGAGAGATATTTGTATAGTGAATTTAGGCCCCTCTGTGGTAGTTGGCCTTGATATTGGGAATATCTCAACTTCTGGAAATGAACCCTAAATGACCCTAAAGGTCCCAGTAGAATGCTCTAACCCAGTAAGGCATTAGGATAGCCACGAAAAAAAAAAAAAAAAAAGACAAAATATCTCAAACTAAAATCATGTTTACAATAGAGTCTGCCTAAATTTTCTTTTTGGTGGTGACCTTAACAAATCTCTGAAATCAGGAGGGTTCCTTTTTTTCATTTGATAGGGTTTGTATTCTTAGTCTGTAATAATTCTTCTCAAATAAAACAATAGTGTTTTCTGTTTTGGTTTAATTGTTTTTAATTTTGAATGCAAATGCCTGTCTGTTTAGCTTTAGATCAATGCCACTTCTGCTAGTTTTGGCTAGGATACAGTTAATTTTCTCCCTAGTAGGTAGTATGTGGCTGTGGCTTAGATTTGTACTGGAAACAGGGTTGATATCACAGGGATGCTTTTGCTGCTGCTGAGCAGGGCTTCCACAGAGACAAGAGCTTTATGTATTAAAATGTCTGTATCTCAACCCATGAGTTTTCTACCTCTTACTGTTCTGATTGCCTCCCTGACCCCTCCAGGAGAGAGTGAGGAAGTGGCTGTGTGGTGCTTAGTTGCCTGGGGTTGAACCACAACCCACTTAAGAAATGGGGCCATTTTCTCATGGTGGCTCATGAATCACAGAGGCACAAAGAGCTGTCTGGAAGCAGTGAAAAGAAGAGAATAGTGAAGACACTAAACTCTCTTTGTAAAATCATGTCCAGAGAAGGGCAATGGAGCTGGTGAAGGGTCTGGAGCACAAGTCTTAACGAGGAGTAGCTGCAGGAGCTGGGGTTGTTTAGCCTGGAGAAAAGGAGGCTGAGGGCTGACCTTATTGCTCTTTACAACAACCTGAAAGGAGGTCGTAGCCAGGTGGGGTTGGTCTCAACGGGATGAGAAGAAATGGCTTCAAGTTGCACGAGGGGAGGTTTAGATTAGGCATTAGGAAAAAATGTCTTCCAGGACTTGGAATAGGCTGCCCTGGGAAGTGATGGATTCACCACCCTTGGAAGTATTCAGCAGATGTGTTGATGTGGCACTTGGGGACATGGTTTAGTGGTGGACATGATAGTGCTGGGTTAACACTTGGACTAAATCTTAGAAGTTATTTCCAACGTTAAGCTTCTGTGATACTAAACCTGTGGTATATCCGTATTTTCATGATGCTTTTGTCTCTGAGGAAGTGTTGCATGTATATTTGTAGTGAAAAGGGCATGACTAACAGTACCTTATTGTCTTTTTGTACCTTATTGTCTTTTTGTACCGTTTTGCCTTTTTGAAAGTTGGAACAGATACATTGTGGACTGTGGGACGTGTACTTTGTATGCAGGACACGCGTAATGAAAATGTCTTTGCTTTTTCATTTGTTTAGGGATTCTAAGGGTCTTGAACAACCATGAGCAACCCGTTTGTACAGATTGTGGAGCCGCTGGACCCAAAACAGCCTCTGAAGAAGTTCTTTAATCTGAGCAAATTGGGAGATGTGAGATATGGTACGTTGACAACATAAGGAAAACATTTTGTTTACATTGAACAGAACTGGAACAGGTATTGCCACATTAGATGATATTTGGTCTCTGAAGAGAACTATGAATTCAAAAGATATTTTTTTAAAACAAAATTTGAGGAAAATTTACTTCTATAAATTTAGAACTACGAAAGTATTGGCAAGATCACAGTAACATTTTCTCAAGATACTGTGCACACAGCAATCTTGTTTTTTTCCTGAGTGGATAAGGAGGGCTAGGCAAAACTAAGAGCACAAGTTTTCTAATATACTACTGAGCTACTGTGAAAGGCTGGAAAGGATCTGACACTGATATGACTGAATCATTCAGAAAGATAATTCAGCTTTAAAAACAGTGCTGGTTAGAGAATCCTTTCTGAGGAGAATCCTTTCTGAGGAGGCTTTTTCTTTAGTTCTTCTGACACTTCATGATCTTTCATGTGGCACTGGTAAAAATTTTACAGTCTGTGCCACTGAGTTAGAAAGGGGGTACCTATAGCTTAAAACTGTCTATGTTACATGGTTTTGGTCTTTCAAAAAGGAAACAGGTGATTAAGGAAAATTTAGGAAGCAACAGGCAGAACATTTTCTCTGAGTGTCAGCAACAAATATCCATTACAGGCTAAGATAGTGTGTAAGTGAGAAATCAATTAATGTCAGACTTGGTGTGTGAAAAGCAGAGATGAGTCTTAAGAAGTAGATAAATACATGTATGGCATTACCAATTGATCCATTCAGGGATTGCAAGAGTGATAAAATCCAGATTCTTTAAAGAAAAAAAGATGCAATTCTCACTACCCAGCAGAAAGATGGAATAGCTTAGCAACAGAAGAATGGGGCAGGGAAGGGCAGGAGAATATTTTGTAAAAAAGCCAAACCAACAACAGCAACAATAACCTGCCAAAAACCCAAACAAACAAATACCCCCAAAACAAAACAAAAAACGACAACAAAAGCAACTGAAATTATTCTGAATTACTGTATCCTGAATAGCAGTTGTTTGGGGTTTTTTTTAATAATATCAGTAATGAGGTCTCACTGTGATTAAGTGACTTTTATGTCTCAGGGCCCCTGTGTAGAAAGTTGGGACAAACTTCTCAAGAGATTTTGAAATATAAATATTCTGAGAGGCAATCAAACATCTATTATTATAGTGGACAAGGGGGGCAAGTCTTGAGTAACTCGTGTTTTTTTAATTCACACCCATTGCTTGTAGTAAGGCTGTCAGTACTGCTCCAATAGCATTTTGTGTCATCTACAAATATGTCTAATCTGAAATAGATTAACAGATGCACAGTCTAACTTCTATTCAGTTTCATTTTCCATCTCTTGAGAAGAAGAGACTGCATAGACCACTAAAGCTGTGCTTTCCAACATGTCTGGTAGAAAATTATGTTTTTCTAGTGCATTTGTATGTCTGGTTCAGTGGCAAGAATGAGAGGAAACTGCAGAAAAACAAGGTGAGCACAGCATGTTTTCCAAGTAGCGTTGCTGTGGAGGGTGGAAAAGCTGTGGAAAAGTCCTTTCAGCAAAGATGTCTATGGTCTCACAGGAGCTGAGGTGATAAATCTACTCAAAGAATTGAGAGGAAGAGGTCAGTTAGTACTGACCTCCTGACAAAGCCAGAGGCTAGAAAAGAGGATTTGATAATTTGGGATAAAGCCTTGTGAAAATATGGGGTCAGCACTTGAAGAACTGTCTGCCCCAGGCATGGAACTTTGCACTTGCTGGCATATGCCTTAAGGTAAAACTGAATTTGTTTCTTGCCTCTCCCCCATGCAGCACGCCTGCCATTTTCTATTCGAATCCTCTTGGAAGCAGCAATCCGTAACTGTGATGAGTTCCTAGTGAAGAAGGGAGATGTTGAGAATATTCTCAACTGGAAAGAGGTGCAACACAAGAATGTTGAAGTGCCATTTAAGCCTGCAAGAGTTATTCTGCAGGACTTCACGTGAGTTTGATGCTCTCCAAAGGTCGGAAGGGGGGCTTTTGAGAGTGCAGCAATGCTCAGCTTGGGGTGGAGGGGTGAGCTGAGGGAAAAAATAACGGGGAGATATTCGGAAAAGCTTTTTTCAAGTTTCCTTGATGTCATGCTACAGACAGCATTTGAAGAGGCAGACACTCAGGGTAAAAGCATTGAGTGAAACTCTTCTGGGATGTAGAAATAAATATCTTTACATAACTTCAAAACAGAGGGGAAGAAAATGTGATGGATTGCATCCAAATGCATTTGGATTGCATCCAAATGAGGCAATCCAAAGTTTAGAGGTTTTGTTGTTTGAAGGGAAGGGGAGTATTGTATTTTTTGTGTGTGTTTTTTGGTTGTTTGGTTTTTTGTTTGTTTTTGGTTCCCCAGGATCTCTTGCTTTCGATTTTCTACCCTTTTCAGTTCTCATTTATAACCCGCATCATTGCTTTCTCTTCCAAGTCAGTATTATTTCAAATACATTTTTATAGACTCCTCTGCTATTAAAAAAATGAATGTCTGTTTTTCCCAGAAGTGCAAACTGAGATTCCTACCTAATGGACTCTGAAAATTGGGACTTGTTATTGCAGTGTGTTTAGCCCCCATGTGTCAGTAATAATCATGTAATAGTCCTTGGTAAATGTGGAAAGTCAATTTTCAGGTTGAACAATAACTTCTAACTATTTTTAATACGGCATTTGACTTGCAAGTTGACTGTTCTTTGTACCTTCGTACTCTATGGAACGGTTTAGTTCATCCATGGTAAGCCCTGTGCTGCTATGCTGCCAGTTGATTTTCTTTCTCAGAAGTAAAGGGTCTTAGCTGTCATACCTTCTGTTTGGCATTTTTGTAGAGGTTATCCAAGTGCTAGAGACCCAGTACAACTCAGCTCCTAAAGACATTAGGAAAAAGGGGCTAAACCTCAACTGAAAGAAGTGCTGATTTCCTGGCTATTTTTCACCTGCTGGCTGTTGTTAACACTTTGAAAAGCTGGAGAACAGAGAAAGCTGAACTTTCATGTAAACGTTGTTTCCTCTGTTACTGCAATTCTTTCTTGCCCCCTGCTCTTCTGCTGAGTTTTAAAAATTTGCCTAGAAGTATGCAGGGCAGCAGCATTCCTGAAAAATGAGCTCTTGGACAGGCCTCTGAGGAATCTTTTGAATAAGGCAGCTTTGGCAACTTTCCAAAAGCCATACAATTACATTCAAGTTGTTCTCGTTTAGAATTATTTAATTTGCCTATTTGGATCATTCTCTAATTTTTCTGAGTTCTTCTAAATACTGTAGATGGACATTGTGTCTGTTCCATTTCAGTTGTATAACATTCATAAGCTGGCAAAATAACTCTTCCACTGCTTCCCTCCCACCCCTGCCCTCCCCCAAATTCCCCTAGGTAGCATTACATAATATTTGCTATTTTCCTTGTAATATGCATATCCTGGGAGGTCAAACTGCTTCACATTGCTGAACAATATCAGTTAATTGTGTTAAGGTTAGATAATGTGGACCCTTTTTGCTGTTTATTTTTTGTAAATATTCAGGATTTTCAAGGTAAAATTCTGTGGAAATTACAAAGATTTTACTGTTCTTGTTGCATTGTTTCTGATGTATGCTCAAATGGTAATAGCTTCCTTATAGTCAGAGTTGAAAACATAAACTCTTACTGCTTTGGGCTGCTCTTGCAAAAATGTAGCGTTTTCAGTGGGTTGCTGACTGATGCCAGATCCTTGAGTGCACATCAGAGAACTCTTTTTGTCTCATCAGCCAGCAAAATCAGATAGGCAGATATGTAAGAGGTTTCCCAAGTTGATTGAAAATACCATGGTAAAATATACCTAAATAGAAGCTGACAATGTGAGAAGCTGCGAAGCATCAGAAGCTTCATTAAAATAAATATTGAAATGTGTGTGATCTCTTAGGTAAGTCAGGTGTTGAAAGGCCAGAAGTTCTGGTTATTCACTCCTTATTTGCTTATGAATAAACATGTGTTGCAAATGGAGGATGAATGAGAGACTCTCAGGTGCATTACTTTGACCTTTTGTACAGTTTACTGACCTCACGTAGGAAGGAAGGAAGGCAGGCTTAATTTAGGGATTTAAAAATCATTTTGGTTGAATGAGACATACAAACAGAGACAAAAAGATCTGTTAACCTTTTTCTGAGTTATTTGGATTTCAGGGGGTTGCTGGATGGTCACAAGATATGTGACACTTCATAACAATATGAATGTTGGCTTGTAGCTGTTTGAGTGCCATTTGTGATATAAGGTCTTTTGTCAGTCATAAGTACAAGAATTTGTTAGTAGGAATGCATGGTGCACCTTATTTCTGCCTTTGTGTTTTCCAGTGATCTGCCAGGACAGTTAAATCCACTTCTGAAAATACAGTTATTCTGTGAAGGTGTTTTGCAGTCAAGTCCTTTGTAACTTAGGAAATCTCATGCCCTGCTCTGCCAGTTTCACCTGAAGTGTGGAACATACAGGTTACAGAGAAGATTCTCCCGTGCCTTGCAAAACTTGGAAGAGATGACTCTTGCCTTAAAATCAACTAAATAAACATAGCAAAGAATCAAAGAAATAACACTGTTGTTTTCCCTCTTCATTTTTAAACTGGGGAGGAGAGAGGGGAACAGAGCAAAAGAAGAGAAACCAGTTCAAGGTCCCTAAGGAATGCTGTCTAGGAACAAATTTCCAAATTCTCAGCCAAGCATGTAGAACTGCTTCTGTTACTTGATGAATTTTGAGTTTAGCTTTTTATTTTTGCAGTGCTCAGGATATAGGTACAGTTCTGTCCCTATTGCTCTTCTGACTTTGTCTTCCTAAGGGTCCCTTCCACAGAGAAATGATCTCAAGACTGAGGGTATGGCTGTGGTTTGCTTTGCATGTGACAGTAGGTGTCTGTTCTGCATCTCCTGGATCTCAGTTGTGTTTGGTTTGGGGTTTTTTTCCCCCCTCTTTTCCGAATTGTTTCACCATGCTTATTTATCCTCTGTTTCAGCGGGGTGCCTGCCGTGGTTGACTTTGCTGCGATGCGTGATGCTGTGAAGAAACTTGGCGGGGACCCTGAAAAAATCAATCCTATCTGTCCTGCTGATCTAGTGATAGATCACTCCATCCAGGTTGATTTTAACAGGCAGTAAGGATACAAAATTACTCTTTACTTCTTAGTGGTTGTAAATAAAACGTACTGATCATCAAGGTAGTTCCACTGGTGATATTCTTAACATTTGTACTATAACATCTTAGACTTTAAGAAGTCTAAGTGATATAATCTAACTTAAAGTTAGATTGTTGTATTGGTTGCTGTGGTTTAGGGGGGCGAATTTTCTTTTTTCTGTGGCACATCTCTTAGCAGTACAAGCCTGGACTAATGGAAACTAGAATGTTAATAGAAACAGGCTCAACCCAGACCTGTGATGATTGTAATTTTCCATAATAATACTGTATTATTAGTAGTTGCTCAGAAATAGCTTTTTTTTCCACATGCACTTTTTTGACCCCGTAGGGCTTTTTGGAAAGGACAAACGTGAATGTCTCCTTTCTTCTTTACTTCTCTAAGAATAGACCTAAGCTACCATAGGCCCAGCTCTGAGGAGCTGCTTGCTGCTTCAGTGCTTCCAAGCAGAAGAGCTTCAGCTGCTGTTTATCGTGTCTCCTCTAAGCACAGGGCAGGAACATAACGCTTTTAAGTCCCCCCCATGCTACAAAGAGACAAACACTCACTAGCAGTCACTAGACCCACAGTGAAATACAAGACCTCTGCATGGAGGTCCTTCTACACTCCAGGGTACATAAGTATGGGCCTACTGAACTGATCTTCGAAACAGATCCTGCAATTACATGTTTTATGATGGTTCCCTTCCATCTTTTTTGTCTGCAGTTACCTTCTTGCTAAAATACACTGTATTTATTGTCCTACAGAGGAAGGAGTTTTGAAGCTGGCCACTTAAGTAATAGCATTGCAAAGAAAAAAATTCCTGGGAGGTGGAAATTAAAGAACATAAGAACCCTTTCTCAGTGTTTAGAGGTTTATTTAAAATAAACATACTGAACTTCTGGGCAGAAATATACTGCAAAGCCTGCTGCTCAGAAGAATGTTGTCAGTTTTCAAATATAGCTTTCTTCATACTTTTTTTAAGTGTAGACTAGTAAAGATAGAAATTCTCATGGTTGACATTTCATAGTTGAGAGGGGAGAAAAAAGCCAAAAAATTTTGACTTATGTAACTGTCAAAAATCAATTGCCATTGACATTTTTTCTAGAGGTGCTGCTTCTTATTCTTAACCCTAAAGAGTTTAGATACAGATGCAAAATGAAAAATAAGCACCTGAAGACTGATCTTGGGGCTAATGGATGTTCTAGCACTAATATATTAAACTGGAAACCTAACCTTTTTTCTTTCTAATTTGCATTACTCTGTTTTTTTAAGATATTTGGGAAACAGAGTATTTCTTTGTGAACAAGATATGATTATGTCTTTACCATAGGAAAAAAATCAACTATTATGATTCTTTTTCTATATTATTTTAATAAAATTCATGTTATGTTATCAGTAGTATCCAGGACTTAATATAGATCATTTTTTGGTAATCACTGTTTTTTGTCACAGCCTCATTTTATTTGTATTAGACTCATGTATATATAGAGAGAACATTGCCTAGCTCTATGCTTCAGTTCTTTCAAACTCTGCAGATGTAAGTTAGGCAGCTTTTCACTTTTTCAAGTGAAAAGTTTGTTAACTCTGCTTTGAAACAAGGAGGCTTCAGGCAGCACCATATCATAGTGATAACCTTTTTTAACAGAAGTTGCATGGCAGTTGTGTTTGTTGCCTTGCTGATTACTTCTGATTTAAGTGTTGGAAAATTCGTATTTCTCTAATATGTAGTGTTGTTTTTCTCAAGCTACAAGTTTAGTGCTAATCTGCATATGTGATATGCAGATTAGCACTCCCATTTGAAGTAGAGTTCAGGTATTAACTCTTAAGATTTCTTAAATTCTTTTCATTGGTTGCCTGCAGTGATATTAAACAGATGTGATTGATCAGCATTCACATTAGCTAATAAATCTTCTTTTCTTTCAACATTTGGGTTTATCTGACCAGACATAAATTTCAGTCGGATGCTTTTGATTCTGACAGCTGATTATTTTCAATTGCAGATCAGACAGCTTGCAAAAAAATCAGGACCTGGAATTTGAAAGGAACAAAGAAAGATTTGAATTCTTAAAGGTACTGAAAAAAATAATCTTATTTGTGTGGAAAAAAGTACAGTGAATGAAAGTTCTGTCAGTGCTCATGTGCATTGAAAATTTTTGACTCCTGTTCCTTTTGTTTCAGTGGGGCTCTCAGGCTTTTAAAAACTTGAGGATTATTCCACCAGGCTCTGGGATCATCCACCAAGTGAACCTGGAGTACTTGGCTAGAGTGGTGATGGATCAGGATGGCTACTACTATCCAGACAGTGTGGTGGGCACTGACTCACACACCACCATGATAGATGGCTTGGGAGTGCTTGGCTGGGGTATGTGCACAAGTGTGTTGTGAATATCTCTGAGCTGAATAAGCTGTGTTTTGGGCTCTGGTGAATTGACTCTGGGTGGCAGGTTAGCCCCCAGTCACTCCCTCACTCCTCCTGTTAGCAAATGGGGGAAGAGAACTGGAAGGGCAAATGCAAGATAAAACTGGTGGGTGGAGACAAAGACAATTTAAGTGAAGAGGGGTGAGTGTAGGGAAAGGAAATGAAAGAAGTGATACAAGGACAGTCAGTCACCACCTCCCGTCAGCACACCAAAGCCGAGCTAGTCCCTGGGCAGTGGGTTCTTTGGAAAAATTGTCCCCACCCCTCACCCCTCAGGTTTTATACTTGGCATGATATTTTATAGCATGGAGTATCTCGTTGTTCAGTTTGGGTCAGGTGTCCTGGCTGTGCCCCCTCCAGTGTCTTGCCCTCCCAATGTCTTGCCCACCCACTTGCTAAGGGGCAGAATGAGAAGCAAAATATATTGAGACTGTGTTAGCACTGCTTAGCAATACCTCAAACTTTGGTGTGTTGTCAACACTGGTATGGTTGTAAATCTAAAACACAGCACTATATGGTCAGCTATGAAGAAAAGTTACTAACCCCAAATGCAAGTAACCTGATAAAGTCTCTTACAGTTATTTAAGACTTTTAAGTAAGCTCCCTGTTCTGGTAACAGCCTCAGATGATTTCTGCTACATGTGTTGTTGGGTTTGTGTTTAGGTTTTTCACATATTTTTTTCTATTCTGCATTTAAATCACAAGGAAGTAGATAAGGAAAATATTAAATAAAGGAAGGGGATTGAAGCATCATTGGCCATCCAATTGTTTCTTAGTCACTTGGCTACTTTCAAAGTGTTGATGTATCAAGAAAAGTACTGCAAATACTAATCTCTTGGATTGAAGGTGCTGAAAATTGAATCTGAGACAGTTAAATATGGCCAGAGAGGACATTGTGAAAAACAGGACTGTGAAGTATGTTCTCATACCAGTACTCTACAGAATACTTGTTACAGGAGTAAATATAAGTAATTTATTTGGCTCATAGTGGTGAACTGCTGTGCTTGAATTATTGAATAAATGAGTACCTATGGAATGAAAGTATTTGCAGTCATCCCACATGGTAGCAAAAACATCAGTTGAGCTTTTATTTTCCTGTGATATGGTGATAGGAGCTTATTGAAACAGCTATTGTACAAATACAGAACACATTGTGTTTTTCAAGAGCATTTGCTAGCATTTGTTCACAAATGTGCTTGTGAAGTTCTGAGTACCACATGATATGATGGGACTTTGTGTTTTTAATATCCCACCTATACTATTGTAGCAATATTGGTTTTTTGAGACTTTCTATCAAGGGTGAAAGAGTTCCTGTGGGCTTAGAATACAAATGTAAACAAGTTCAATTTATTTAAAGCATGAGAGCTTTGGGATTAGAAACATCTCTTATGCTGTATTTGATTGTACCATACACAGAGACGTAATTTAGATGATGTTGCAGCGCCAATAGCTGCTTGGAAGAGTGTGACTGTCAACCTCATTTTTCTCCAGAATTTGAAAAGTAAGGCTGGGCACAGTCTATACCATATGAGCCTAAAGTGCCTACTCTTGGATCCAACATTTCTTTCTAGTGGCTGGTAATAGTGAACTTGCTTCATGCTTGCCTGTGGTAGCCTGTCAGTCGTGTTTACTAACTTGACTGTTTAAAAAGGATTCAACACCTAGTGAAAGGAGTCACATGATTGGATCTGTCACAGAATTATCTTTTATATTAACATAGGTATATTATTTTGCATAAAATAAATCGGAAATTATTTTTCAGAACCATTCTTAGATTAAGTGGGAAAAAGGATTGGAGTAGTGGTTTGGCATACATGAGCAACTATTACAGGCAGTTTGTTCTAGCTCAGTATTAATTAAGCTAAACAAAAGGTAGAAGAAGGTTTGAAAGTAGAAGATAAATGTAAGAGGGACTTTCTATGGGCAAAAAAGTTATATATCTGCTTAATTGCTAGTAAACATCGTGGGTTTATTAGATTGCATATGGCTATGACATCTTGGTTAAAATAGCAAAATTAAGTAGTAGCTTGAATTACATTCCTCTAATAGTGAAGGTATGCTTACACAAAGGTTCCCACCTGCACATGGCCAAACCCTGTTGAAACTTAATAGACATAAGGGAAGATATTTCTGTCTTAACAAGTATCTTTTGTGTTAGTATTCTTTAGTAATCTTCCTTTCCTTCCAAACAACTTTTGAGTTTTTGTTTGGTGACCAACATTCCTGGTCTGCATACGTTTCACTCACAGCACATCATGTTCAGTGCCATGTCAGTGGTTCTTGGTTAGTGCACTGCACGCTTAAACATTAAATAAAACTTTTACATCTGCTATTATAAAAGCGAAGCATCCTAGAGTAAGTTACTTAGATTTACCTAATATCCTATCTAATGACTTGGGAATAAGGATGACAGTATGAAACAAAAAGAAATTTAAAAGCCCAGCCTTGCAGAAACTGGAGCAAGATGAGGACTGCCCCTTAGCAGAAGACTGAGGCTGTCTCCTTTTTCTCCTCTTTTTGCCTTAAACAGAATACTCATCAAGCAACTGATGTCATGTGTTTATCTTTGACACATTACTGTCTTTCTGAATAGTTGCATTGTGTACTCCTGTTGCATACAGGTGTGGGTGGCATTGAAGCAGAAGCAGTGATGTTGGGGCAGCCAATCAGCATGGTGCTTCCTGAGGTGGTTGGCTATAAGCTGGTAGGAAACCCTCAGCCACTGGTAACATCCACTGACATTGTGCTCACCATTACCAAGGTAAATTACCAAGGTTTGATGTTTTTCTATTACTGCTAAGAGCTATGCATGCTCTGTAGGGCAGAGCCACTGTACTGCAGACTTAAGAACCCTATGTGTGCTTCCATGTAGTAATTTTGGACTTTTTTAAAGCTCTGTCACTCTGTGTGGGTTGGAATGAGCTGTGCGAGGACAATTCACTAGGGAAATCTGTTTTCCAGAAGCCCAACAAAATATATGTTGGGATATTTTAGAATTCAGTAATGTTTTTGAACAACAATGCTTTCTCCTCTGCCTCAAAAGAAACACCTTGACTTGTTTTTGAAGTCCCCACTTAAAATAAGGCAATGTAAACCCCCCACAAAACAGACAGTAAGCACTGCAGTCTGATTTCTTGGATGTGCAGGTGTTTGACTCATCATATGTTCATAGTACATTTATTCACGCTCTGCATTGTCACTGAATTAAGAGTATTACTGGGTCAGCACTGATACTGGAGTTCAGAAATCTGGTACACAAGTTCATCATGGGATGCTGTCTCTAGAGAGACCTCCAAATGGGGAAAGCCAACATTTTTTTATTATTTCATCTAGATGTGTGTGTGTGTTCAATTCAATTCATGTACTTGTGCAGTTGGTTCTCCCTGTTTCCTTATCTTCCTGGGTTTGCTGGCTGAACATTCCCCACACAGTTCTCCTCTTCTTAGAACATGATGTTGACAAAAATATGGTTGTTGTAAAATAGAGTCTAGTTTAAATGAGAGGAAGAGCAAATTTTAGAAGGAACGCGTCCTGATGTTGTACCTTATTATTGAAACCTTACATCTCTGTGTTCTCATCTTCATAATTTAGTTTACCAAAAGCTTCCTGGTTTCACATGGCTATAGAAACCTTCATAAGAGGTTGCTCTGAAGCAGAAATCTGGATTTCATAACAGACATGCTCAGCTTGTTTGACACGTAACAATGACAGGCACTGTATTTTTATAACAGCACCTTCGCCAAGTTGGAGTCGTGGGTAAATTCGTGGAGTTTTTTGGCCCTGGTGTAGCCCAGCTGTCAATTGCTGACCGAGCCACCATTGCCAATATGTGTCCAGAGTATGGAGCAACAGCTGCCTATTTCCCAGTGGATGATATTAGCATTGGGTACCTGATACAGACTGGTGAGTGTGAGAAGAGACCACAAGTTAAAGGCATATTTGAAAGCAGGCCTCTAGGTCTATATGGTGTAGTCAGCAGTGGGATTGAATCAGGTGGAGCCTTTTGAGCTTCAGTTCATTTCTTATTAATATTTCTGTATTGAGGCTGTGTCTTGCTCTGTGTTTAGGAAGAGCTGGGTATTAGACTTTTGGCAGCTAAATGCCTGCTTAGCCCTGCCTGAACCTGGCTTGTCCAGATGACAGAAGTAGGAACCTAAGATTTTTTTTCTGCAAAAGTCACTAAGTCTGCTCAATTGCTTTGCTTTCAGTGAATCTCTAATATTTCTTTTGAAAGAGCCTATGTACAGTGTGAACAGTGAAATAGCTTGTTGTGCATTCTTTCTTGTTCTGTCAGATGGTAGTTCCTCTGTTACATTTGCATTTTGTTTTTGCTATATCTGGCTTTCATCTTAGGACGTGACAAAGAGAAGGTTATGTGCACAAAAAAGTATCTTGAGGCTGTGGGAATGCTAAGAGATTTCAAGAACTCCTCTCAGGATCCGGACTTCACACAGGTTAGAAACTACTCTGCCTTCTGACTCCTTGCTTTATGCCCTGTCCTATTTCATTGTGACAACTGTATGTTTTTCACGGAAAGTAAGAAATACTCAAGGGACTCATCCTTTGGTTTGGTTCTCAGAGCTGTCTTCCAGGCCCAGTGGAATCAGCTGGCTCTTCAGCTGTGAAAGCTTGGGCATAGGTATAGAATGGCTCTCAACTGACTTCAAGCTGGTGCAGATTCTGCAATTTGTTCCAAGTAGTTTTGAGAAGTCCTGTCCAGACTCAAGTGTACCTGTGAAAATAATGTGGATGTTATCTGTGTAAGCCTTGTTACGGTTTTACCCTTGTTCTGTTCAGCAAGTTACTTTACTTCGGGAATCAGGACACTTGAAAGCTCCGTGGGGTAACTGCAGACCACACAAGTCATTTTCTATGCAAGAAAATCAAGATCTTACCCCCTGTGTCCAGCAAACTCAAGAATATTCCTAGTTTTCTCTACAGTAAAATCTTATCTTGTACTTGTGTTTAGGTTTGCATGATTATTCAAAAACTTTAGTAGATATGGAAAGATTCAGCGCATTATAAAAGCAAGGTTGGGACATGGGTGAGGAATAGATAAATAATCTGCTTTGGTTTGTGTCAGTACCAGGATTTCTTTATATCATTGTTTTCCCTGCTGCTAGCATGTCAAAGGAGGAATTAAAAAATTATTTTTTATTGCTTAGATGCTTTGGTCACATTAGGTTTTTCAGTAACTGTAGTACTTTTGATATCCATACCTGTGAGGTGGCAGTGTCTAAAAGTAGAACTGTTCTTTTTCTTCTGATCTTTCCCTTCTTGTGTGTCTTTGATAATTGCTGCAAATAGACTTAAAGATGTGCAGACTTAGCATCGGTTCAACAGCAGAGGTAAGAATACCTGTGGCTTAACTGGCTTCAATTTATCATGCAGTGCTGAACCACTCTCTGTTGGTCTTATTTGAATAGGTTGTTGAGTTGGATCTCCATACTGTTGTGCCTTGCTGCAGTGGACCAAAAAGACCTCAGGACAAAGTTGCTGTGTCAGATATGAAGAAGGACTTTGAGACTTGTCTGGGAGCCAAGGTAGGGACTGGGGACGTTTGAGCATACAAACTAATGCGTGCTTCTAAAAGGTGTCTGGTGTTCAGGAGCTACATTCTGGCGTTAACTTGTGCATTATGTGTTTGCCTATTGAAAAGTTGGAAAATGAGGATGTTTGAATGCGGTTTCGAAGATGACAGCAGCAATGATTAGTATAAAATTGGGGGTTTACTTCTCTTGTATAATAGTGTTTATGTCCTATTGAAGTAGTAATTCTTCCTGACCTTATGTCTAACACAGTTGAGACATACACTAGAGATTTCTGAACTAGCTGTGATGGGGGCTTGTTAATAGAGGAGACAAAGTACCTAGTGCACTGAGCTCTAAGCTTGACTACCCAGCTTTCCAAGCAGGTTATGCCCTGAGATCCACAGTGTAGTTTTCAACTAAGTATTGAATATGTTCAGCAGGTCAAAACTGCATGTGTCCCTGTGACTCTGTGATGGTGGTGGTAAAGACAGAAAATGATGTTTTCACTCTGCATCATCCAGTCAAAGTGGTTATTGGAAGAAGAGCAAGATTTATTTTTAAATTAATCTTGCCAGACACTTTTCTAAATCAGTTTGAATCCTTACCTTATGCAGTAACCATCCTTCTTAACGGCAGTACAGAACTCCAGTGATTTAATTCAAGAAACCTAAACTACAGCAATTCCCAATAGTTCTTGTTTTCTTACATTTTCCAAATTCCATTAAATGACCTTATGCTTTCAGATCTCTAAATGTATTTTTCATGGCATGAACAGTGCCTTCTTGCTGTATTTTTCCCAGCTGCTAGGCTTTTGCCTCTCAGATCAGCTCCTGGCATCAGTTTGAGGTATTTGATAATCATGGCTTAAAATTCTTATCTGTTTTGGCTCAAATCTCAGGACTAGCTTACGTATTAAGACTATATGTGATCAGAAATCTGGAACACACAGAAGCAAGAAGCCACCTGAGCAATCTGAGGAAGGATATATTCATGCAGGAAGAAAATACAAATTTTTCTTCAAAAGTTGCCTCCTTTACGAGTAAGCAGAGAGTGGGATAAACTTCGGAAAAAATTGTTTTTGTCCACCACTTTGGTTGACCAGAGACACAAGTCTTCCCCACTAGACCTAAAAGCACAAGCATGGGTATAACTGACAGATGCTTCTCATTGGTGAAAAAAACAGCTCATACTAATTTTTAGTCAAAATATTTATTTTTAACCCCACATCCATTTGGTTATTTTCTCCTCCTACAGCAAGGATTCAAGGGATTCCAGATTGCCCCAGACCGACACAACAGCATAGTTAAACTTAATTTTGAGGGCTGTGACTTCGAGCTTGCTCATGGTTCAGTAGTGATTGCTGCCATTACAAGCTGTACAAACACCAGTAACCCCTCAGTTATGTTGGGTGCAGGTAAGTGTATTTGCCTAATGTGCAGTAGGTTCTCTGTGGCTCTGGCTGTGTGCTCTGTGGCTAAAGACAATGATGCTGATGTAATTCTACATTCTAGCACAAAAACAGTGCTGGTTTTGTCATTTGGAGTGCTAAAAGTTTCTAAGGTAGCAGAAAGACTTATGGAAATGGTAGCTATAAATCTAGGTTGATAAAAAAGTGTTTTTCCTGCACTGTCTTCTATATAGAGCAAGATGGAATTTAATAAACCAACACCTCTGACACTTTTTAAATGCATAGAAGCTGTTACATAGAGCTGAGAAGAGGCTGTTGAAGGTCAAAGCTGCAAGGAGAGGGACAGTGAAGAACTGTCTATGGGTTTAAGTCTGAGGGTGCTGTGATCTGTCAGCAGAGTACAAAACACACACTTACCTAGAGGTTGCCCTATATAGTTGTTGCAACAAGAGCCTGAGGGTATGTTAGGGATGAGTAGAGGAGGAATATTATGTTGTCAGGGGTGGCCATCTTTCAGACCCTTTTCATTTACACCTTAACTGCATCCACAGAGTGGTTGAAGGTGGACTTTGTATGCCCCACTACAGAAGAGTTAGTCTGACTTAATTGTACTAAATTTCTGGTAAGGAGGTTTTTCATTTTTAACCTGGTTAGTCTGTGCAGAAAATTTCTCATTCCTAACGTGTGCTTCTGGCAACAAAATATGAATGAAGAGTGTCAGCTCAAAGAGGTCAGTATATACTAGACAAGTCTGGCCACTTTCCCAGGTGCTTGGCTACATGTTCACATATTTATTTCTTTCCTCTGCAAGCATATGCATAGATGGTACCTGTCACTATAGGATTGTCACTGCATTAGGATTTACTAGACTGTCAGACTGTTTGTGGGATGGAGACTTTTCCTGTGAGGGTCAGAAGGGATGTGCAATGGGCAGTACAAAGGCCCTTGACCAGAGGGCCTTGACCAACCTTCCTGGCTGAAGTCATGTAATTTGTCTTCCTTGTTTCCTGTATAGTGCTGGGAAGTTTTTGGCTTGTCGACAGCCTCTGTCAACAGTCACTTTGTTTTTGGTTTTTCAATGTGGTATTTGTCACCTGTTCTTAGGGTAGCATCTATCTTTGGATACTTTACAGTACCAGCAGTTCACTCCCTTCCCAGGCACAAAAGGTCTTTTAAATTCTAGCAAAAGGACAAAGTCCATTATAAACCAAGATATGGGAGAGAAAGGGAAGCAGAGGAGAGATCTGCTTGTTTCCTTACCCCTTTGAGAGGAACAGAATTGAACGAAGTCTCCCAATTTACTTGCCCTTGACAGGACAGCCAAATCAGCTTACTCCTTTCCTCAGGTCCATTCTGATCCTGATCACAGACATAGAGCTGTATTTTTTCTTCCGAGAACCAATAAGTAGGTTTTTTCCAGGTAGACTATCTTTGCTCTGCCCCATTCCCTTAGTTTTAAGTGGGTGTATCCCTCAGTTGTGCCACCTGTTTAGGATAGTTTCCTCAAGTATTTGGCTCCCAGGTTAATGGCATGCGTTTTTAACCCTCCCTGAGGCAGCAGGCATGCTGATCTTTCAGTCAGCTTGGCTTAATAGCTCTGTGGGTTTAAAGTGTGGAATGCTCTGCAGATACATGGAAAGTTGGTACTTTGAGTGCCTTCACTACTGCTAAATGCACGGCAGCCTGAAGAATGTAGTCCTCATGATCTTGTGCTCAGATATATTTTTTGTATATCTTGTGCACTAGATACACAGGGACTGTGTGTCTGTGGGGTTAGTGATGTATGCTGTAGGAGCCTTGACAGTCTAATCTGACTTTACAAGGTATTGGATTAAGGTTGCTCAAACCAATTTAAGTTCTGGCATTTCCTTGCCAGTTTTAAGAGTTTGACTTTGATTTCTTTTCAGACCTGGTGTGAGCAAGAAGACAGAAGCCAACACTTTCAGACAGGCTGTCAGTCTCTTAGGTCCTATGATGATCACTTGTTCATGGTCACATTTTCAAAAATATCCAATGGCTTCAGTTTCCGCAATTTCCTTTGGTACCTAAAGAGCCTCAGCAGTTTCAGGAATGGGGCTGCTGCTTTAAATTCATGTGTGTAGGCCATTTCACACAACACTTAAAAGTGTAGGTCTCCAGGTCACGTATAACAGAGCTGCCAAACACCTGGCAAAGACAAAACAATTTGATGACATCTTCCTGTTGGAGATCATGTTGGATCAAAGCAGAACTGATGTGTACTTTATCTAAATGGATGTAATGTGTGAGACAGAAAATGCAGCATGGGAATGTGAAGTTTTGCATAGTTTGCATATCTGCTGCTTCTTTTATATTCATCCTGGAAAAGGGCTGGAGTGGACTAGTTTTCTGAACATTCAGCAATGGATAATTTGTTTCAAAAGAAGGAATTTAGGATGAATGTGTTTCTAGTAACATGCTCCACTGAAACATCTCTATGTGTGTTACAAATCCAGGAATGGTAAATCAGCACTCTTGCAACAAGCTGTAGAATGTGAGATAGTTAATTTGTGTGAAACTCTAGAGTTGGTGCTCTCATAGCCTTCTGCTTCTGAGAGCAGGAAGTCTTATGTTAGCAGTTATTTCAGCACCTACTAGACCACGGTAAGTGGGAACTTAATAATTCTTCATTGCATTTTTGTGAGACACTTGTCTTACAAAGAACATTCTGAGTTTTGAATGTCTACATGCTGCCCTAGTGTGAGTGCATCTTGTTTAATGCAACTTCCAGCAACCTAGTGGAACAGAAATTGCAGTCTGGATCTACAGTTCAACAGAGGTCTTGAGTCTAGCTGATTATTAGGGAATTAGTGCTGTTGGCTTGCTGTACAATTTCATTGCTGGAAATGCTGCCTTTTCTGTTCCCAGTCATTCAGTGGTACTTCTCTTAACCTGATCTACTGATTCGCCAAACTGTCTCGCTTCCAGGGAAAACTGCAACTATCCTTTGCATTTTTCAGGATTGCTTGCTAAGAAGGCTGTTGAAGCTGGTTTGACAGTGAAGCCATACATTAAAACTAGCCTGTCCCCAGGAAGCGGGGTCGTCACTTACTATCTGCGGGAGAGTGGAGTTATGAGTTACCTTTCCCAACTAGGGTAGGAGTGCTTTTCTTACTGTTGTCCTATGGCTGCTTAACTAAAAGCACTGTGAACAAGTAATGCAATAAAATATTTCTCTGTGCAGCTTAAAAGATATCGCAGGTACCTTATGGTGTGATCCTGCCTGAGTTAATGCATTGCTGTTGTGCTGGCTGGCTTTGTACCAATGATGAAGAAGGCCTGCTGTAACTTCTTGAAGACTTAAGTTCTTAAGCAGGAAAAATGTGTTATTTTCAAGGCTAATTGTTTTGAAATAGTATAAATTACACTATATTGTTGTTCCTCTCGCTCCATTCTTTGTGCATGGACAGTGACTGCAGTGATAAAAGTAGAGGACATCCTCAAAAATGCTGTTTTCAGCAGCAATTTATTTGTTAAAGCAGTACATCTTCTGAAAGTAACCATTACCACCTGCTAAAGGGTTAAATGTCTCGCTCCAAAATATCTTTCTGTTCACTGATGATTTTTATGCTCTTTTTAGGTTTGATGTGGTGGGTTATGGCTGTATGACGTGTATTGGCAACAGTGGACCCCTACCAGAGTCTGTTGTTGAGGCCATTACACAGGTAAGCAGTTTTTCCTGTACAGCTTATCTAGGTAGGCTGTTCTCTGCTGTGTGCTGTTCTGAGCTGTGTTATCCTGTGCGCTGCCTCTTCTCAATTCTGTGTGAAGTCAGTTCAGTCTGTATTCTCTTTTCTGTGGGAAATGTTTTGCAACAGTCTGGAAGTAGACAGATTTGTAACTGTCCAGTCATTGCTGTTGCAGTGCAGTGAGGCTCTACAGACTTGCTGGGTGTGTGAATCCTGCTAGCATCTCAGCTAGCACACTGAGGTGTCTCACACTCTCTCTTACAGGGTGACCTCGTTGCAGTGGGGGTGTTGTCTGGCAACAGGAATTTCGAAGGGCGTGTCCATCCCAACACCCGTGCTAATTACCTGGCCTCCCCGCCACTGGTTATAGCCTATGCAATTGCAGGGACCGTCCGGATTGATTTTGAGACAGAGCCTTTAGGTAAGACAGTGTCAGGATGCTTCTTTTGACAGCTTATAAGCGAAACTGGTTGGAATTAAGCTCTTCAGAAACATTTGTCGTAGTGAAGTGCTTCAAAGTACTAAGTATCTCTGGGAGACAAAACATGCAGTTGTTAAGAAACAGAGCAACAAGGAGTCCGTAGGATGGAGAAAGCAGGAAGCCAAGCCTGAGCAATATTCTCATTCCACTGGGGCATGTTTTTGGTTATATCTGGGCGATGGTAACCTGACTAAGCTTTTATAAGCAACCTGATTTAGTAGACTTTCCTTGAGCAGGAAGTTCAGCTAGACAACCTTCAAAGATCCTTTCCTACAAAAATGATTCTATAAATTATTCTAGAATGCCACTGGAAGTCACAGAATAATGTACAGGCATTGTCAAGTTTATGACACACTTTTCTGTCAAAACCCTGTAGGTAAAATAAAGTGTGTCTTGTGAGTGTTAAAAGGAACACATAGCTAGAGGACACAATGATGAGCTTTTCTTTCTTCTTAATGGAAAATTTATGGAACAAACGTGACAATACCATTTTCTACAGGAATAAATGCTTCGGGGAAGAAGATTTTCCTGAAAGATATCTGGCCAACAAGAAACGAAATTCAGGCTGTTGAGCGTCAGTTTGTTATTCCTGGGATGTTCAAGGAGGTCTACCAAAAAATAGAGGTGAATTAATCCTCTGGGCAGTAATTGATTGATGTACTGTGCTATTCTGAAGTATTAAATAAGATGGTCTTGATAATGAAATGAACCTTTTTCTTCTATTGCTGTTCTTCTGTTCTAGCAAATATTCAAATGAGTTTTTTTAAAAAAATGTCTTCTGACTAATTTAATTCTTACAGTCATGTTCTGAAAATTGCTCCTTATTATGTTGTTTCTGAAAACTTAAGTCAATGGGAGTATTTTGTTTTTCAGACAGTAAACAAATCTTGGAATGCCTTAGATGCTCCTTCAGATAAACTGTATACTTGGAATCCCAAGTCTACCTATATCAAGTCTCCTCCTTTCTTTGATGGTCTGGTACGTCCATGCTTTCCCTTTGAATCAAGCCAAAGTGTGTAGTGACCTTGACTAATTTTAAAGGTGAAGCAAAGACAAGGGGGCTGAGGGCAAGGGCATCCATCATAGCTTATCGAGGCTTTGGTTCTTAGATGTTAGAATTGCAATATTGTGTTCCTTTTAATACAAAGGCGTGAGTGAATCTGAAAATTGTAAAGATTCCCTGTCAATTCAAGGCTTTTGAAAAGTCCCCTTTACCTTTTAAGTTGAAATACTTTAAAACGGTCATAGAGCGAGTGAAGAACAAGAACAGGAAACAAAATGCACAGTTCTGCCTGTTTGCATTTTGCACCAAATGGTTCAGGGTTCAGATTGCTGTTTCAGTATTAAAAAGAAAACGTAGATTTTAATGCATGCAAATGCTTAGGAACCCTGGATTTTCATGCATGTATCACAGGAAGCCTCAGCTAGTTTTCTTATCTCATCTGTTTTCTTCATGCATGAACCTGCTGACAGACAGCCAGGGCATCATATTTTGTTCAAGAACATGAACATTTTTAATAGGGTTGTTTTTTTTTCTTTCTCCTAACCTGTATAAGAAGGGAGACTTTATTTTGCAATTTGCACTTTTTAAGAAAGGTAAAGTAATTGTTTTTCATATAATAATTATTTTGTTTGTGTTTATGATGGCTTAGACTTTGGCTCTTCAGACCCCGAAAGCAATAGAAGGTGCTTATGTCCTGTTGAGTTTTGGGGATTCTGTGACAACTGACCACATATCTCCAGCTGGGAACATAGCCAGAAATAGTCCTGCAGCCCGTTATTTGACCAGCAGAGGGTAAGCACTACTTCTTGTTTTTGTTATGAATTGAGAAGAGGAAGCAAATCACAATTGCTATACCATGTTACAGGCACACATAACTTCTGTCTGTTCACATGCCCTTGTGTACCTTGACGGCTGCCCAGAGAACACATAAATTAAGAAAGAAAAACATTTCTCTTTCTGCTACTTCAGCAGTTGTCACCAAGTGTAAGAACTTGAATAGCATGTGTGAATCTGTTAGCACTGTAGAGCTGATGACATTTTTATAGAGAAAGGGGAAGAAGATAACTTTCATGCTGATTTTTGCAGTATGTCTATTCATAAATAAGGGAATCAGGATTTGTCTCCCTATCAAAGCAAAAGGACCGTGGTCCTTAGTGCCAGAAATTGGGTTTATATTCATTTCTAGCACGTGCATCTATTTCATAGATCAAGGCTCTTAGGAGCTACAGAACATCTCAAAGTTTAGGTTTCAGTTCAGCTGCAAAAACTGGCAGATCTGTTGTGGCTGGAGTCCAAAATCCTGTAAAATATTGGTCTTTTACTATGGCCAGTCTGTCAGTTTACTACTTGGGATTCAACTTAAGACAAGATTACGACTTACCAAGTTTACCTGTCCAGTTTTAACAGACAATATAATGCTTTTATTCTCTGGCTTAGCACTTCTTACAACCTTAGTGGTGTTTCGAAGAACAGCACTGACTTAAAAAAAAAAATCAACCCACTAGACCTAATAATTTTGAAGAGAAAATGGATTAAAACAGTGTAATATACTGAAAACTAACTGCTCTGGGCTCTTTGACCCCTGCTATCTGTCACTTCAAAATCTGAATAGTCCTACACACATTACAAAACAGTTGTTGTATGTCGTAGCTGTTCTCTGGATGTAGCCCAATGCAAACAGCCTAATTTTCTGTCACATTCTGGCACATTTTTTGTTTACTGGTTAGGCTGAAGTGTCCCATCATTCTCATATCTCTGCTTGCAAATGAACTTCTTCTGTAGTTCTAACTTTCAGCAGGGGTCCTTGCTGCCTTTTAGGTATTTAGTACAGTGCTCTGTGTCTGTTCTAGATGCTATAGTAATATAAACAACAAGGAGAATTTTCAGTAGCCAGCCATTAAGAAAAGAATTGTTGCATCTTCTGTCTTAATATGAATTATATCCTTGCATCACTACTAGATCCTGTTCTCTAGGGCAAGGATTGAGAATACTATGGAAGCTCCTTTTTATGACCAAACTGTAACTGTGTTTTAATTATTTTTCCTTTCCTTCCAAACATCTCAAAAGTAGAAGTATTAGCTAATTGCCAAGCTGGGAACTTTGTACATACCTGCTTCAGAAACACCAGTTCATTGCTTCCGTTTTTTGAAGCCCAGAGTGCTTTAGTCTAAAAACAACACCATTTCCATTCTTCTTTTCCTTTAATAGCTTGACTCCTCGAGAGTTCAATTCCTATGGCTCCCGCAGAGGGAATGATGCTGTCATGGCCAGAGGGACATTTGCAAATATTCGCTTGGTCAACAAATTTATTGATAAACAAGGACCTCAGACTATCCATTTCCCTTCTGGGGAAATAGTAAGTACACATGCTGCTCTTAACTGGGGCTCATTGACAACAGAGTGTTAGTGCTGGCTTTTCTTCTTACAGCTTAGGTCATTTACTCAAGTGCTTTTCACTAAAGCTAATTGAGGGGAGAGGAGCTGTATTGACCTCGGGAAGCAGGTCACACGTACCTACAATACGGTTGTTTGAGGCATGTCAGTGGGGGGTATAACCACTGTAGAAGCAGCAGGGGAAGGTGCACGTTTGTGTTGGGAGTGAGATCAGACTAGAAGCCACAAAGTGCTATATGGTTAATATCCTTAAAGTGCTGCTTGTTGGAAGGCGTGGGCTTCAACCGTTTATGTGGGGACGCTTTTCTCCTCTTTTGTCTCGGGCACTGTTCTTCCACCCTCAAAAAGTTTATAAAGTGTTTACCATTTTTATTCCAGCTGGATGTGTTTGATGCTGCAGAAAGATACAAGCAGGCTGGTCATCCTCTGATTGTGCTGGCTGGGAAGGAATATGGTGCAGGAAGTTCCAGAGACTGGGCAGCTAAAGGACCATTCCTCTTGGTGAGTGGCTACAGTAAACTAGAAGGAAAACAGTACTTGAAAGTGCATTAATGTGTCAGGAAGACTAGTTTATGAGCAACAACCTGGGTAGCTCATTCTCACTTTAGGTAGCAAGAGCTGTTTTGAAATCTCAGCTGCCTCCAAGAGCCACAGCAGAGTTGCAAAAGCTATTTAAGTATTAATAGATCTTGTTCAGACTGGAAGGCTTGACTGATCTTCAGAAATCCACAAGCCTACACCAGAAAGGCCAGTTTCTTTACTTGTGCTTCCCTTAACCCCATAAACCGCAGGTCTGCTTTCAGCTGCCTCCTTAAGCTCACTTAGCAGAGAAGCTAGAAAGTGTAAGAGAAAAGTAGTATCACTGAAAAAGAAATGTAACATGGCTTCACCATGGGAGTCTAATAGAGATCCACCTACAGTGAAATATCTCTTTCTTTCTTTGTCTTCCAGTCCTATACAGCCCAAACTCTGATTAAGGCTTTCTTGGTATGGAATTTATGTGTATTATTAGAAAAAGTTTTAAGAGAGTTAGTGTTTAAGTTCAGTTAAGTTTTTGGAGTTTTCTCTGGTGATGCTTTTTTGTGTTAACTGTATTAACATGTAAAATTTCAGAAATTACTTAAACTGCACCCTGGAGCTTGTAGCGTAGGAGGGCAACGCTGAATTAGGAAGAGTTATGGAAATAACTACTGGTGCTCTACATAAGACATGTTAAAGTAGTATGCAGGATTTCTGAGAAAGCATGTGTAACTTTTTTTGATAGTTAGGCTTCTTCTAAAGATGTTTGAAAATTAATGTATAATCAAGTCATCTGGACAGTTTGCTGTCGGAAAGACCTGCTGATTCTACCAGTAGCTGGTAAATAAAATGGAGGGGACCACAAAAGAACCAACTTTCTTCTTGTGAGTACAGAAAGGCTGTCCTGAACCATGAAGATAAGTAAACCTGTTTTGTGTTTCCCAGGGTGTCAAAGCTGTGCTTGCTGAAAGCTATGAGAGAATTCATCGAAGCAACCTAGTAGGGATGGGAGTGATTCCTCTGCAGTATTTACCTGGAGAGGATGCAGGGACTTTAGGACTCACTGGACGGGAGCGTTACACGATTATCATTCCCGAAAAACTAAAACCACAGATGAACATCCAGATTAAGGTATGACACACCAAAGAGCTGAATTTTCTGAATCACTGGAATTTCACCCAAAATTAATTGTCTCTTCAAAAAATATGCTGTCCTATGTCAGTCAGCTTCTCTCACTTGAGAAAGGGACAATTGAGATGGTGGAGAGGTAGAAAAAAGTAATTCTAATAGGGATTAAAGTGAAAGAGGGTAGAATTAGACTAGCTATATGAATAACAACATATAAGGCACTGAAAGCACTGCCCAGAGAAGTTGTGAATTCCTTCTCCCAGGAAGGGTCCAAGGTAGGGTTGGATGAGGCTTTTAGCAACCTTGTCTAGTGGAAAGTTCCTGGCCCGTGGCAGGGGGGTTACAGGTCATCCTTACGGCCAAACCATTCTATGATTTTATGGTTTGCTATAATGGGATATAAAAGCATGATGCTCAAACTGTTTTATTTAACACAAAGCCATCCTGTGTTTTGGACCAGTCTCTCAAAACCCACTATAAATTCTTCTGTCTCAGTTATAAATGAGGCAGCAAATGCAATGAGACTCCATACCATGTTTATTATGGTTGGTTTTATACCACTTTCCTCTTCAGCAGCTACCTGTAGTCTAGTGTGAAAAGAAATAGTGGTGCCTGTTTACTTTAGCTTTCTGTCACAATTTTCTAAGATGGCAAAACTATCCTAGTGGTCCTTATTTTACTATGATGTCAAGTGACACGTAGAAGGTTCTGCTGCTTAAATGATTTTCTTTAACCCCAACAGCTGGATACTGGGAAAACCTTTCAGGCCATCATGAGATTTGACACTGATGTGGAGCTCACTTACTTCCACAACGGCGGCATTCTGAACTACATGATCCGTAAAATGGCATCCTAATTAAAAAAAATTAAGCAAAAAGGTCCAGGTTCAAGCCTGCTTCCAGTGAGCGCAATAAACCTGTAGTAATCCTGCATTTGAAAGTGTGAACCATAAAGTGAACAATTTTTTTTTGTGGATTGTATTAGAAGGCTTGTTTACAATGATGAATTTTTCTGTGTATTGGGAAACTGGTCAGGCCCATATAAAGTAAACAGCATTTATTATTTGTTTTGTATGGCAGTTGGCTTGACTTACCTTAGAATACAGTGCAAAAGTCATTAAGATACTGCTGGCATCTTTAGAACCATTGGAGATCATGTGCTGATTTCATATATTCGGTCCATTTAGTCTGACTCTGAAGTTAAGTTTTATGCTCGCATCAGTGATCTAAAAGTTCACTGACAGTATAAAACACTTTTATTCCTTCCTGATTACCTGATACTGACTTGCTTTCTGATTCAGTCATCAGAATCTGAATCTAATACTGAAATTATTTAGCTGTTTATTAATTTTAAAAATGTGAACTCTGTTTAAAATCTAAGCCTTTGTGGAAAGGTGGACTTATTGGGGATATTTCTAATGGATAAAATTAAATTTATTTTTAAGAAATTTGGTGGTTTCTATCATTTTATCCTTAGTACTGGGATGCAGAACAAAACTTTGACTTTAAACTCTTCTCATTGTCCCTGTATGAACAGAGTCGTATGAGTCTCGACTTCTCATGTTTCATTTTTGTTTCATTAAAGAGTCTGCATGAGACAGGATGAATACAAATACTATCAGATACTGGTAGTCTTCTGTAACCCAACAGAACACTGGTGTGATGTACTTCCCTCTGTTTTGTGCCCTCAAGAAGACAATCTCCATAATTTCAAGATCCTCGTCAGCAATTTTTATGGCAGTTAGCAACCAGTAATTACACCAAAGCATTCACTGAAGTCAGTGACTGCCCATTCAACAATACCACATGAATCTGTTTACAGTGGTAACCAATCTCCTGTTACTTGGAGATAGACAAGGTTATAGTACTAATTCTCATCTTAACTGTATTTAGAGCAACTGCCACAGCAAGTAATACAGTGGAGAAATTCTTTCAAAGTAATATCCTAATGTATTTTTAGTGCAGTCAGCTCTGGATATTTCTCTGGATAAAAAATAACTATTTAAATAGTTCTGAAAGAAGCAAAGAGACTAAAGGAGGGGATAGAGATTGCACTGTACCTGCTTGATTACAACAAACAGACCTCCACTAAGACGTTGCAGGATCTGGAGCATCTCTCCTGAGGACAAGCGGAGAGGACTGTTGAGTCCAGTGAAGAAAAGGCTCAGGGACATCTCCGCTGTTTGTGTGCAAATATCTGAATGGAGGGCACAAAAGAATATACAGCCAGAGTCTTTTCAGTGGTGCCTAACGACAGAGCAAGAAGCAGTGGGCGCAAACTGAAACCCAGGAGGTTCCCTATGAACATTAGCAAACATTGTTTCATGCTGAGGAACCAAGCGCTGTCTGGAAGAGACTGCTCGAGAGAGCCTGTATGTGTGTGTGTGTTGTCTCCGTTCTTGGAGATGTTCAGATGCTGTCTGGACATTGTCCTGGGCAAACTGCCTTGGGTCACAAGATGACCTCTAGAGATCCTTCCCAGCTGAGATCCCTCAGCTGTTCTGTGATTCTGTGAAGCATCTTAACAGAGAGTTGTTAATACGGCCACAATCTTAGTAATAAATATGCAACTTTAGGTTCAATGAAAAAAAAATCAGATGTTCTTAAAGGTCAGATAAGAGTGCTGGTGTTCTTCCTCACCCTCCCATCCCCACTGTGTACTGAAGGGAAGGCTTGTTATATCAATTTGAATTCTTATTAATGTGTTATCCCGTCAACCTTTATTACTTATTTAGGCTGAGCTGCAAAGTTTAGACTGAAATTCTTGTTTTCAAAGAATAGGAAAATACCAGAACTTCTCAAATTCTGTAACTTCCCAGTAGTTATTACTCTAAGCTGTGAAATTTAGGGCTGATTATTTTTTATGCCAAAAATCAGAGCAAACTGATACTTAAGGACTGTGATTTTCCAAGTACTTTTAATTAGAAAGTGCTAAAATGGCCTTTTTCAAAAATCTGTTATTCCTATTATTTTTGGAGGGAAGGCATTATCCAAACATAAATCATCTTTATTCATTGTTCGAAGTGCATACAGCTTTCACGGTAAAAGGCATGGACTGGGGTGGAACGTGAAGCAGTGCTTAAAAAGTTCTTTTGCTTTTAATGCCACACAACACTTTAACAGAACGCAGGCCTCACTGACTAGGATTTAGGTAGTTTAAACTGGTTTTGGACTCTTAAATTATGTTCCTTTTCAAGGTGGGTTTTGGGTTTTTTTTCAGAGTTCGGGTGTTTTGGACACATAATTCTTCTACATACACAACTCATTACACTATCAAATGCAAAAAGTGAACTGCAAATGTCTTTCTTCCTGGTTCCAGAAATACTGAATATTAACCTCATTGAACATGTGTAGAATCAGCAGGTGACTTAAAGGGTACAAATATAACAATGTTTCATAACTGTAGCAATTTCCATTTTTCCCAGAAAGGTCTGGAATCTGACTAGAGAGAAGGAATTCATGGCTGGTCTTCACGATCGAAGATTTGGGGAGGGCTCTACCCACATTTGTTACAAACACACTGGTGGCTAATGAGGCCAATACGAGATAGACATGTCCGATTGCAAAAGGCACAGCAGAAAGGCTCCTTAGGTGGTATATTCTGCAAGGCACGATTCTTTCTGCATTGTCTTTTCTCCTCAGGGGTGATCCTGCGTGTGTTCTCAAAGGCATCAGCAGCGTTATAGATGGTGTGTCTCCAGACCTCCCGATTGGAGGCCAGAGTAGACCAGTTATGTTGATCAATATGGCCAAGGCTGAGATGTTGTTTCAGGGAGTCCTTGTATTTTTTAGAGAGAAGGAATATATACATAAAAATAACATTAAAAGTAATTTTTTTAAAAGTAGCTAGAATAGTGCCTAAAGTATTTGTACATGTAAGCCATATTGTCTGCATGGAGGTGTAATCCAGCCAATAGCAGTAACAAAGAAGATGCTGTTTCACACAAAAATTCTTGAAGTTGTGGCCTGTCACCTAAAGTTAGATGTTTCATGTTAGTCGTTCATCTTGATCTTATTTTTTTTCAGACCAGCTTCTTCATAGCCACAAGAATTCAGATCTAGATACTTAGGCACATTATCCTTCTCATGAAACTTCTAGTGAAATATTTCATTATATAGCAAATTTTTTTTAGTGGCCATACTAGCATTTTATAGTCCAGCCAGACGTGGACAAGGGGCCCAGCATATCAGCATAAAGAACAAAGTCTTTTATACATGAAAAATGATCATCCAGTATTTCAGCTGAGTGCAGTAGGGTGATATATCCATTAAAATGAGGAGTTCAGCTGGATGTTTCTTCATCAAAATTCTTCAAAGAAGAATTAATATTTTTCCATTTCTGAAAATCCATCTGTGTCCCAGTTTCAATGTCCTCTACTACAAAGCTTCTGATTTTGATGATTGGTAGATTATCAAATGTCTTGTACTTCACTGTGATCCCCCAGTCATGCTGGCAATTAGTTTTTTGGCAATGCATCTTGCTTTTTTTCTCAAAAACATCAAATGGACGTGGTTTCTGGTGAGGCTTCATTATATAACGCTCCTTGAATGCATCTCCTAGGACAGTGTGATGAGAGTCCTGAAACAACACATGGCAGAAGTACTTAGTAGTAGAAACAACATTCCTCATTTTTTCCTGATGTTCCTCTTCCCTTCTCAAGTATGTTTTCCCTGTTGAGGTGATTCCTGTCATGCAGGAGGCTCACCTTCCAGCCCCTTTTGCTCATTGCTCTTTTTTCCCCCAATCCATTGAATACCAGGGCCCAGGCCTAGGCTTATCAAAACCAAAAACAATTGCTTTGTATAACCAGTCACCAGCTTATATATATTTGAAATTACTAAGCTTTTTAGGAAACCATGCTTGCATGGTTTTATGCCTTGTGCATAAAACTAAGAGAGTTATTCAGACAATGGACAACTTTGAGAGACTCCTGCTTTCCATGAGGGGTGATGCAATTACTTTGGAGTGGTAGAAAAAACAGCCCTAACAAGATGAAGGAGCTACAGTTGATACTTATAACATATATAATCAAAGACTGCAGAAATTAAAAACCGTACTTGAAAGCATATTTATAATTTGTGCTGGAGTCCGAAAATGCTAGATCCTCCTGAAAATGCATCTTCCATAAAATATATAGGCTGAACTATGACAGAACTCAGTTTGTAGGCATTATTTAAAATGGTTTGAGGGGTTATTTGCAGAGTACTAAGCAAAAACTCTTACTGAGGAGTCTTCTGAGCTCTTGGATCAATCTGGTGATTGATCACCAGATAGGTGATAAACCAGCAGCATAAAATGAAGTGAAAGTCAGAGGTGCTTTAGATACCCCTTGAGAGTTGCCAAAGAAATGTAACCAGGTTTTCACAAAGCTGAGCTATTCCCAACTTCTTGCTCATGCATCTTGCCTGTGCAGAGGAGTAGTGAACTCCTCTACATTCCAAAAACAGCTGGTAAAAACAAAAATATTTTCTTGATGAATAAGGGAAGTGGCTGAAGGCAAACACTCTGTAATGCTCAGCTGTGGCCTGAAGCCTCTTATCACATCACAACTGCACTTTTAAGAGCAGGACAAATAGAAGCAGCTTCAAGAGAACAAATTGCAGAACTATAGAGGCTCAAAGTGCCCAGAAAAGCCTCTCTTCCATGATCATCACTTTCCATTGTAGAGAGTATTGCCTTCTTTGGTCTACAGAAAACATCTTGATGTTCAGAAAAAGTACAATCAGAATGTCTCTGTAAGATACATAGAAGCAATGTGAATTACCTAAAGAATGGAAAACAAAATAATGCAGAAGAATTAAAGGGTTCCTCTTGTGAAACCAGGGTTTACCTTGCTTTTCAAAACTGAAAACTGGCCCAGAAGCCAAGGAGTTAAACAGTGAGCTGATCTCAGTACCTTGTGTGGGTAATTCGTCAGTTTCAAAGGGGCATAGGAAAACTGAAGTGATTCTTGCCATATATATTTGCACACCTTAGACATCATTAACTAATATATCGAAGTCACACCTCTTCCTGTGGTTTACTGATTTACTCAGAATTTCTTTTCTGGTCCAGTTTGCACAACATAGCAAACTTCCACACTGATTACCAATGCTGTTGGTTCAATAATGCTGACTTCCCTGATGTTCATGGATGTGTTTCCATACCTTTATAATTCTGATGTCATCTGTACAGCAGGCATAGGCTTTGCATTTTCCACACAGAAGATTTTTTTTCCCTTCCACTACTTCATGTTTTATAGTTTCTTTCTTCCTGCAATCTCGTAATACCTTTTCCTTCACTTGCAGGTCACGTATCTTTATTAATAAATAAAAATCAAAATCATTATGAAATTAAGAGAAGCTCCAATGTCAGCTTGAACATGACTCAGGATATGTAACATCTAGGAACCTATTAATTAAAGCAAACAAAACAAAATAAAACATGCCTTGTTCTAGCAACTCATACCAAAGAAAGAACATGGTATTATTTGCCAGGTTTAGAATGTAGGACTAGAATAAGACTATGTGATGGACAGCATTTATGCTGTCTCTTCCTCCTTCCCCTCTAGCCCCTTATGACCTCTCTGCTTGTAAGGCTCTTAAGTCTGTGTGAAGACTAAGTCATGTGAAA